CCCAGAGCTCCAGTCCCCCCACAGAGGACAAGAAGGCAAGGACAGAAAGGGAGGGTACATGGTGCCCGGGTAATGTGGTATAGGGAGGGAGACTGGAAGGAGTTGGAAGACCATGAGTAGCTGGGGGCCAGGGGGGTGACAGACGCGCTCCGGGCTCTCGTCTCTGTGAACACACGGTAACACGTCCTGTCTGGCTGCGGCCCCTCAACCAGTGGGGCTGTGGCGTCACTTACTTGTCCACCAGGCCTTTGTGCTTGAGGATGCTGTGCAGCTCGCGGGCTGTCTGGGGCCCCTGCAGCTTCTGCCCATTCAGCATCTCTTTCTCCAGCTGCTCAATGGACTGTGAAGCAAACGCGATGAGTAGAGGAAGTGGGAGAGCGTTGTCAGTATGGGCGGGGAGTCTGGGCTCAGAGGGGGGGTGGGGGGTCTTTGAGAGGAAAGAAGTGGAATTGTTCACAATTTTATTTATTTTTTTAAAAGAATTCTTTCATTTAACTTTATTTATTTATTTAAATTTGACCAGAGAGGCACAGAATGAGAGAGAGAGAGAGAGAAAGAGGCAGGGTTGGAGGGGGAGTGAGAAAGCCAGCTGCTAGGTCCGGGACTCAAACCATGGTCAGCCATGTGGGAGGGAGTCCAGCACCCTTAACCACCATGCCACCTGCCGGCCTCAACTGTTCACAATTTTAACATTTGTGGCCAAGAGACACTTCTTACTTACTTGTTTACTTATGAGATATTTTTGCTATCGGACGTGTGTGCTCGCCAGAGAGACCAAGAGACAGAAAGCGAGAAGTCACCTTCGCAGGGAAGACGGCCATGCCACAATCCCTTCTCCTCCATTCTTCTCATGGGGTTTTGGGCACACATACACACACACACGCACACACACACACGACTGGCGTGAGTTTTAAGCTGCCAGGGGTCCAGAATTCAAACTGTGATCGACTGCGTGGGCGTCCAGCGACATAACCTTTATGCATCTGCTGGTCCTCAAGAGACCCCTCTTGCCAAGTGTCTTGCCTTTATGTCTACATCGCCCACCCTGTGTTCGCCCTTTGCCACGGGGCCCACCTTTCCGGTGCGGGCGAAGGCCTCGGCCACCTTGCGGTTCCGCCCTCCGTAGCAGGTGGTGATGAGGTCAGCAACACCACAGCTCTCCAAGAAGGTGGCAGAGGACACAGGGCCACTGCAGAAGAGCTTGGCGAAGGCGATCATCTCCATGAGCCCCAGGCGGATCACCGCTGCCTTGGTGTTGTCGCCAAAGCCCAGCCCGTCACAGAAGCCAGCTCCCCCAGCCACTATATTCTTTGGGGAACAGAGGTAATGGCTGAGAAAGAACCCCCTCCTAGGGCTGCTTGGAGCCCTCAGCGCCTGCCTCATGCTCCTTCCATGACCCATGATACATCCACTAAATAAGTGACGTGTAACATATGGGCTCCTGAGCTGTTTCCACCTCCTGATTTTCCTACTTGCTGCACCCCCTTTCTTAAGTCCTGCCCCATCCTCCTTCCTTAAGGGGAGGCCAAGGGGAGATGTGAAAGCCACTCTTCTCCCCATTGGCCCTCCCACCCGTGACCATTCTTTTCTATAGTCCCATGTCCACAGCTGTCCTGGATCCATAGTTCTGGCCACTAGTCTGTCTGAGTGTCTTGGACATCTCATCTCCAGTTACCCTGGGCATCTCTTTCCCCCCTGGGCATCTCGTTCCCTAGAGCCGGGGGTAGGGAGCCCCACAAGGGCTGTAGGGGGAAAGGAAGCAGGAAGTCCTGCCTGATGAGGAATAAGCAGCAGGCCCGAGTGCCCTGCCCTTGCTTCTGCAGTTCGTCCTCTGTACGGGACTCGGGGTGAGGAAGGGGAGCAACTGCCCAGGAGTGAGAACCTAAAGCACCAGCGTGGTCGAGCTAGGCCAGCCCTCCTGGGGAGCTTCTCCCACCCCACAGCCGCCCGTGTGCGCCTCTCACCTTTAAGGCCCCACAGATCTCTACTGTGTCCACCTCTTCCACCACCGTGATGCGGAAGTTGGGTGTCTGCATCAGCTCTTTCAGCAGCTGCCCTTGGGCTAAGTCCTTGCAGCCTAAAGTGGGGAGGGGACAAGGTTTGAGGGAACATTCTTGCCTGTTCTTTCCCCACTGGCCTTCCTTGGGATAACCGCACCCTCCTTCACTCTGGGGCTTGGGTCTCTTCCTTTCCCTGCCTTATCAGGCTTGGGGGACAGATTATGGGGAGAGGATGCAGCTCGAGCTGCGCGGGTGGGTGGGAGCTCTCACCAATGGTTGTCTCACAGAACTTCTCATCGGCCACCTCACTGGCAATGTTGGCCCCCATCAGCACACTCATAGGGATGCCAAGGTGTTCCCCAATCACTTCAGAGATGAGCTTCAGCCCATTGGGGCCCTCGTCTACGCCCTGGGCACAGGATGGGGCTCAGGCCAGGTGCTCTTGCTGCCCAGCTGAGGGCTTCCCACCCAGCAAGGCTGCCCCCTTTAAACCCACTGTTAGTCAGTGTCCCTCCCCAGAGGTTCTGCCCATTCCAACCCAGCTAATCTCGCTGGGAGGAGAGACAGCTGGTGAGGAAGGACTCCATCTGAACAGTCTCCTTCCCACACCCTCAGCCTGCCCGCACCAAGGCAGCACATCTCTGCGCATGCCTCACCTGCCCCTTCCTGACCGCCTCAGGCATGTGTCCGTCCTTCCATCCAAACAAGTCCACCCCTCTTGCCCCCGGGCATCCCTTTTACACCTGCTAAGCTCCCTAAGGTATCTGCCTCCAAACCCCTCTCCTGTTTGCTTCCCAGCCCAGCTCCCCTCCCCAGCACCCAGTACCCAGCACCCGGCTGCTTTCTTAAGCCTCTCCAAGGGCAACCCTTAGCACCGCTCTCCAGGAACCCTTGGCTACTTTCTGCCTTGTTCTGTTCTCACTTCACCCATCCTGAGCCCCTAACAAAGCTGCCCTTCCCACGTCCACATGAAGGTGTCCCTGGCACCTTAATAAGAGATATGCCAATGGCGTGTGCCTTCAGGTGGCCCTTGAGCTGGTCACAGATCTTGCCGATGAACTGGTGCGGCACCACGAAGATCAGGATATCGGCATCCGCTGCAGCCTGGACTACATCTGGGACAGCCACCTGTCGGGGTGACTGGGTGCTCACGGGCCTGGCAGACCTCGCCCGGCCCCTGTGGAGCCCCACTCAGGAGATCTAGGAACCAGATGAGGCTTGTGGGAGGAGGAGGGTAGTTTGGGACCGATCTGGAAGGACTGAGCTTGGGGAACAAGACACTGTCTTCCCTCCCCCAGCCACTGCTCCAGCTGTCCTGGGTCCCTGAGGCCTCCTGGAAACCTCTTCTCAGCATAGCTCTTGGCTGTGGGACAGTGAGGGAGGCCAGAGGCGGCCCGGGCTTGGCAGGAGGAAGGGGCGAAGTAAGATTTCATCACGCTGCTCCTGAGGGCCCCAATTCAGAGGGAGAGCCCCAGCCTTTCTGCCATCTTTCCTGCTTCTCTTTTCCAGGTTGGGAGGGAGCCATGCGGATCTGACCAAAGACCACAAGTCCAAGGAGCAGCCCCTGAGTCTGCTAATAACCCAGTGAATGAGTAACAGGGTTAGAGCGGAGCAGGCACTAGGAGGACCCTGAGAACCAGGTTTGGGTTGCCATGCCAACTTCCCTGTCTTCTCTCCCACCTAGGAGCCTTTCAGGGGGTTGCACATCCAGGTTCTCCCGTGTCCCAGGAAGTGCCCAGGGGACCAGTTTGCAGGCTCTGCGTAGAGGTGCCCTGTGCTCACAGCAGCCCTCCGGAGCCAGCCGAGCCGCTTCCTGAGTCCGAAGGGGCCCGTCTCAGCAGGCGGCACCTTGGAAGTTAAGAGCCCAGCTCTGTCTCTCCTGGCCTTCCCTCCCTGGCCTTCTTGCAGGGGGTGGGGGCTCACCACATTTGGGGGCAGCTTGTGCCCGGGCAGGTATTTGACGTTCTCATGCTGCGTGTTGATGATCTCTGTCAGCTTTTTACCCCCGATGTCTTCCTCAAACACCCACATGGTCACTCGTGGGTCAAAGCGTGCCAGCTGCGCTGCATTGCCACCCACAATCTTGGCGATGGCTGAGCCCCTGGCAGGAGGGGAACATAGGGAAGTGGAGGGGTGGCAGTGCCCATCTCAGGGTCTCACGACAGCCCAGCAGGTTATTAACTTCCCACCTTCCTGGCCGCCCCTACTCTGACGAGTGTGTCCCCAGTGACCTGACAGTAGGAAGGAGACTCAGTCTGCCTTCACACTTTGCTGCTGGAGAAGGGGCCAGCCTTCTGGTCTTCCCACCCCCCAGACCCAAGCAGCTCCTCAGGGAGTGCTGGAGACTCCCTATGGCGAACAGGTGCAGCTGCCCAGGCAGGCTGGGGCCAGGAGGTCTGGGCACAGACTCCTGCGTGTGCAGCGCCGAAGACAGCAGCGGAGGTGAGGAGGAACCTGAGGGCATTTCCTTTGCATGCCAAGTCTCCCTCCCCAGCCCCTCTGTACCCGGGAACCCACCCTTCCCCATGCCCCTTGAGAGAGCCACATACCAGTTGCCAGAGCCTACAATGCAGACTTTCTTGCCAGCCATGGTGCCGCTTCTGTGCCCTAGCCGGCTCCGCTACGCTCCCCTTCCCTCCCCTCCCCAGCTAGGAGCTTTTAACTCCGCCACACGTGGGTGCAGCCAAGCCCCGCCCTCGGAGAGTGGGTGGGGAGGCTGGCAGCCAGGGAGAGTCTGGCAGAGCCAGGAAAAGGGGAGGAAAGGAGAGAGACAGGTGGAGAAGAGGACGGGGCAGCCACCAGGCCTGGCCTTCCCTCTGGGCTTGCCGGCTGCCAGGGTGCTAGCCAGCCTCCTCCCTGGCCCCAGACCAGGTTCCTGCCCCTTCCCTGCAATGGTCTCATTTTGTGGTCTGCCAAGAAATAGTCCAGATAAGGGGCAAGTAAACAGTCTTCCTCATTCCCTTCTGTCCCCCAATTTATCCCCCAGTATTTAGCCCTAGTAGCAGGTATGGGAATGCTTTTTTTTACTTTTAACTTTTTGAGAGATTTTTGCAATAGGGTGTGTGCACTCACCAGACAGAGCGACAGAAAGAGAGAAATCACCCTCTAGGGGGAATGGCCACACCGCAATCCCTTCTCCTCCATTCTCTTCTTGGGATTCTGGGCATGCACATACAAACATCTGGCGTGAGTTTCAAGCCACCAGGCCTGAGACTCAAACTACAATTGACCATGTGTGAATCCAACACCTTAACCACCACACCACCTGCTGGTCTGTGGAATGCTTTCTTTTCAAAGGCAGGAATTCTCCCCCACCACCTCCCCTGGCCATATACCCTCCCATGACCCCAAAAACTACTCTACAGTTTTGTCCTGGAGCACCCCTATACTGGCTCCACTGCAAGACTGGGGGGGAAGGGAGGGTGGATACAGGACAAAGGCCTGCTTTGGGGCATCCCAGCCCAAGGATAATGAGACCCAAAAAACAAGGTCATTTTGGTCACCCACAGTGGTCATCTGGGACTCACCAAGGGGCCTCTCATCTCAGCCAACCCCCACCTGAATTCTCTAGGAAGGAAGGTGGGAAAGAGAGGGCTCTGATGCCAAGTGGCCCGCAGCTCTGTAGACTCTGGGCTTAAGAGAGAAGAGGGCAGGAGAGAAGGAAGGTGAACAGAGCGTGCACCATACTTGGGTGACTGAGCTTCCTTCAGCTCCTTTTCCTGGGTTTCTGAGCCACCATGCTAGGGCTCCCTCAGGGTACTGGCTGGTTGGCAGAGGCCAGAAAGAAGGGAGGCAAGGCCTGGGCAGTCATCCTCCAGGGTTCTGCAGTCTCCAATGCCTTGAGAGTAAGCGGGGTGTGTGATTTGGGGGGAAGGGGAGAGTGGAAGGAACATAATCAGCCGTTCAGGACTCCACGTCGCCCACAGCCATCTGTTTGACTAGGGAGATAGGAGCTCTGGTTTCCAGGCTGCTCTAGAGAGTGGAGCAAGAGGCTCCCAACAATCCAGCTGTTGGTGCACTTTGGCCCAGAGGGCAGACAGCACTGTGTGCTCACGTGCTGACCTCCTGGCTTGGCGGACTGCTGCTGGCCCCACTGGTAACAAGCACTGGGCTAGAGTGGAGTCTGCACGCAACCAAGACTAAGGGTAAGTGGGCAGGAGGGCAATACTGAGCGTGTTTTTTTCTTTTTTTTTTTTTTTTTAAGAGGTTTTTGCTATAGGACGCGTGTGCTTGCCAGACAGACAGAGAGACAGAAAGCGAGAAATCACCCCCCAGGGGGGATGGCCACACCACAGTCCCTTCTCTTCCAGTCTCCTCTTGGGATCTTGGGCACGCACACACACATGCCCGGCGCGAGTTCCAAGCCACGGGGTCTGGGATGCGAACCACGGTCGACTACGTGGGAGTCCAGCGACATAGCCATTACACTAACTGCTGGTCCCAGTGTAAGTGGTTTTTGAAGTTCAGGAAGAGTCCACTGCATCCTCCTTAATGACCAGCAGTGCCCATAGGAGAATATACATGAATCAGTACTGGGTTGTTTTTGTTAGAACAGAAGTTATGTCCAGTAGAGCCTCCCACAGACCGCTTCTTTATTGCGCTGGCACTGAGATAAAGGCACCAGTGCCAGGCTGCCAGCTGGGAGCATTGATTGCAGTGATAGAAGAGAAAGAATGCTTCTGTCCCTGGAGCACGGGATGGGAACCCCAAAGAATGGTTGTATGTGCATGAAACAATCCCTTGTTTTTGCCTAAGTGCAGCACTCGTTTTGTCCTCACAATCATCTTAGGTAATGCGGAGCCACTGAATTTATGCGCTCATATAGGAATTAAGAGGGTGCAGAAATCAGGACCAGCAGTTAGCGTAATGGCTATGTCGCTGGACTCCCATGTAGTCGACTGCAGTTTGGGTCCCAGACCCGGTGGCTTAAACTCATGCCGGGCGCATGTGCATGCTCAAGATCCTGAGAGGAGAATGGAGAAGGGATTGCGGCGTGGCCATCCCCCCTGGGGGGTGATTTCTCGCTTTGTCTTTCTGGTGAGTGCATGTGTCCTATAGCAAAAACCTCTCCAAAAAAAAAAAAAAGGGTGCAGAAATCCAGAACTGCTCGTCACAGCAAGTTATCCATATCACTAGGGCTCTTTTCCCAAGAGCAACTGTAGATTTGCTTGAAATTTCTAATGGTTCATCAACCATTCATTACACCGGTAATTAGCCTGGATGAAAACTGATGCCATTCCAAATCCCTGACATCCACTTTTTCCACTCCAAGTTACCACCCCAGTACTCCTCTGCGTTCAACAGGGGTCATTTTTGGTGACTGACTGCAGACGGGAATACTCAAGTGTTTCCACTCATGGAGGCAAATGTGCCTTTTAACTCTGGATTGCACAAGGTTACATTCATCCTTGTGTTCTAAAACCTCTTGGACTGTGGCATAAGGGAGGACAGAAATGAGCACCGAGGTGGAAGCAGGCAGAATTACAGCAGAATTTCATGCTTTGGCTAATGAGAATACTCACTCCTAAGCAGTATTCCAAACTCTGCCCCTGAGGGGCTGGTTCCACAGTTGGTCTTATGAACTGACTTCCTATTCAGGGCCACAAAAGTGGAGGCCTAAATAGTAGCAGACAGAGGGCCAGCAGGTGGCTTGGTGGCTGTGGCATTGGACTCCAATATGGCTGACAGTGATTCAAGTTCTGGTTCTGGCAGCCCCTAAATCACAATAAAGATGGGGACCAGCAGATGGCATAATGGTTATATTGCTGGACTCCCACGTAGTCAACCATAGTTCGAGTCTCAGACCCAGTGGCTTCAAATAGGCCAGGCACATGTGTGCCCAAGATCCTGGGAGAATGTTCAAAGGATTTCAATGTGGCCATTTCCCATGAGGGGTCCTATCTCTGTCTCTCTAGTAAGCACATGTGCCCTACAGAAAAAAAAAAAAAAAGATTAATAGATGAATAAATGTTTAGGGACCAGCAGTTGGCAGAATGGCTTTGTTGCTGGAGTCCCATGTAGTCGACTGCAGTTCAAGTCTCAGATTCAGTGGCTTAAACTCATGCCAGGCACGTGTGTATGCGTGCCCAAGATCCCAAGAGGAGAATGGAGAAGGGATTGCTGTGTGGCCATCCTCTTTGGGGCTGGTTTCTCAGTCTCTCTGGCAGGTGCACATGCCCTATAGCAAAAACCTCTCCCCCAAAAAACGTTTAAAGTAAGGGGGTGGGGGAACCAGCAGTTAGTGTAGTGGCTATGTCGCTGGACTCCCACGTAGTCGACCACAGTTCGCGTCCCAGACCTGGTGGCTTAAAACTCAGGCAGGGCGTGTGTGCGTGCGTGCCCAAGATCCTGAGAGGAGAATGGAGAAGGGATTGCAGTGTGACCATCCCCCTGGGGGGTGATTTCTCGCTTTCTGTCTCTATGTTTCTGTCTGGCGAGCGCACGCGCCCTACAGCGAAAACCTGTCAAAAAATAAGGGGGTGAGGAGTGGTGGCATGGTGGCTAAGATGCTGTACTCCCACATGGCTGACTGCAGTTCAGGTCCCAGACTGGGTGGCTTATTTTCCCTCTCTAGTCAAATTTAAATAATAATAAAGTTAAATAATTTTGTCCTGAATTGTTCAGATCTGGCCCATGACAGAAGAACTGGGAGAGGGGAGGGAGGTATCCTCTAGAGGAGGCTGATTGATCAAACCTAGGGAATCACAGGTACCCAAAGACAGCTCACTCCAGCCACCAGGGACCCCTGGGCACTCGATGAGAAGTGGCCGTGCCACAGACCTGTTACCACCTGCCTAACAGAGAACTGGGGCAGGAGTCCAAGCCTGTGGTAAAGCCCAATGATTCCAGCCAGTGCCTAGATAGCCTGGGCCCCTGGGGCTGGCAGAGCGACCTCTAAGGTGAGACCGTTAGGTCTGTGAGGGTAGAGCTCACATTTTCCATCGTCTGTCACCTGGCACCACGACTGGCACATACACATGGCACTAGGTGCTCAGGAAGTACTTACCAAATAAAGTGAACCAACACCACAATCACGGCTAATGGTGTGAAGGAGAAAGAGCTCCAGAAGAGCTCTCCCACAGTAGGTCGGGGGACTCATCCTTCAGAAGATTCTTTTATTAAAATGGGGTGACATAGATAAGGGGACAGTACAAAAAAAATTTTGGTCCATGAAAAAAACATAATTCAGTTAATAAAAACAGTTATCTTCAACAAGGACACTGTGCCAGAGACTGAGCTTCCTTCTCAAGGTTCCAGCCAGAGCCAGGCCAGGGCCCAGCAGCCCCAAGGCTATCCAGTGTCACTGTGGGGAGAACCTTTCAAGGAAAGGAAAAAGGCAGGAAAGGGAAAGGGGAGGAAAGTCTGCTGTCCCCGTGTAGAACAAGCAGGGGTAAGGGTGGGGGTGTGCTCGCAGGAGCCTGAGGAGGGGGTGGGGAAGCAGGGGCTTTGTCAGTTCTGTGGGGTTAGAGCCCATGCTGAACGGAATTCCCCCGTGCCCAGCTGTCTCCCACCCTGCTGGGTTGAGTCTGCGAGCCTGGGATACGCTAATGTGGGGGTGATACAACCTGGAAGAACCTGAGGCTCCCCTGGAAAGATGTGAAACCACCTCAGTCCCAAGGGGCCAAGATCACAAGGTCCTGCCGCTACCTGAGGGGTCTGAAGCTTTGAGGGCAGGGGCTGGGAGTCACAATCCTGTGAGGCAGGGAGAGGGAGAGTCACAAACCCAACTCAGCTATTCTCCAGCCCTAGGCGCTCCTCAGTGCCCCAGAAGTCACCGGTGGGTGTCAACTGGGCAGACAAGGGGCAGGAAGACAGGGCTGGGCCA